GCTAAACTGAGGCACAAGCATGTCAAGAAACTTGTTTGAGGTCACATAACCAGTTGGTGTCACAACCAGAACTACAGCACTGGAATTTTGAAACTTAAGCCTGTGTTTTCTTGGCAGAAAGTGTCTCGGCTACTGCTGGATCTACCCAGAGTTCATGTGGAGATCTGTGGCTACAATTTAATTGGAGAATACAAATCAGGCATGCCTAAAGAGCTCTACAGAAAGAAGATTGTTTCTCTTAGATCATGACTGTGTTAGAAAAGGGAGGTAGAGAATAGAGTCAGTTGTTTTAGACAAAGCAAATTGCAAACAAACAAAAACACTTTGTAACCAGTTTCTGGATATTTTGGGGGCTATTCATTCATTAATTCGTGTATTCATTTTTTTAAAGTATCTATTAAGTGCCTTTATATAAGAGACTGTACTCAGCACTTTTAGGAAGATACAAAGAAATGCATTTAATTGGGAGGGGTTGAATTATACAGGTAATTGCCATTTTATTCATTGTCTATTACCACCTGGTAAATGAAATGCCTTCCTTACAGAAAAGCAAGATAAACAAAACCAGATGAAGAAATTGGGCAACTAATTTCCTTCGATTCTCTCCCTGTAGGAAGCGTGCTTTTTTTAAATCAAGGTGATAAATTGTCCTGCCAGATACACAAAACACCAAGTTTGCTATGTCATCTAATGTAACACAGACTTTAACTGTAATGCCCCCTTGAAACTAGGGAGAGTGGGCTTAGGTCAGTGCCAGGTTCTTTACCAGGAACACCAGATCAGTATCAAAGGGAAAATGTTACTATCTAATAGCACAAAAAGTAACTTCCAAAAAGCATCTCTGAAGGCCAGAATTAAAGTCTATGACACTTTCCTTGCCTGGCTCTTAAACTTTTCCTCTTGGCAGGCATATTTAAGGATGTAGACAAAAGAGAACAGAGCACCAACGGGCCCAAGGAAACAACCAACAGAGTTGAAGTCCCTGTCATTTGGGTGGAATATAAGCAAGAGTTTGTCAATGAGTGTTTCCTTGGAAGTCACTTAAAAAAAAACAAAACAACAACAAAAAAACCCACAACATTTTCCTGGAAAAATTTCTTCATTTTCTAGTGTAAACCCAAAGGCAAAATTTGTGCTAATGTTTGCACACACTGTTAAGTACTTGTTTGATATTCTTTAGTTTATACTATGGGTACAAAAATAGTGTCACTGAGTGAAACTATCGTTTTTTGTTGTGATAGGTCCTGCTCAGCTCCCAGTGTGGGTATATGAAACTGTATGTATGTTCATACGTGTTGTTTATTTGCCTTGTGTGTGTGTATGAAGAGTGGAGAGTCAGAGTAAAACCCAGTTCTGTCCTTAACTCTGTCTCCATTTTGCTTCTCTGGGTTTCCATCCTTTCCATTTATAAAATCACAGGATTGGAGTCAGTGAGCTCTAAACTTTGTTCCAACTCTACCATCCAGCAATGCTCAGTTTTTAAATGCTTTCATTATTATTAAACATTATGTACTCCACTAAGTCGATACTCTTAGCAATATAGTAGGGTCCTGCTTCAGGAAAACTGGTCATAGTTACCTGTAAAATCTTAAGTCAGATAAAATTAAGTTTATTCATTTTATAAAAATGATTATTTGATCTGCAAAATAATTCCCCAAATGGCAGTAAATAACAAACTCTGGTTATACATTTAAAATAAAGATTTATTTTTAATCCAAGTTTTCATGAAAAGTAATCTAGAATGAGACATACTTGCGTTAACAAAAATATAAGCAAATAAATATCATAAAATCATACTATTTTGGAATGTTAAAGGAAAATTTCAACCCAACATCATTATTTTACAAAACAGGGAACTAAAGACCAAATAAGGTTACATATTAGCTCAATATCACACCTGTAGTTAACAAAGGCCCTGCAAAGAAAATCAATTGCAAAACATTTTCTATATTTTTCTCTATTCATATTTTGAGGCCACAACTCTACATTTACCTATGAAGAAAATAATCACAGCTGTTCATTCACTGTTTAAACCAAGGATTATTAATTATTGAATAAAATTTAAAGTTATAATGCAGAATATCAAGTTTCTCCTGTATGGGCACATTACACTTCAATAGTCTAAATAGTAGATTCACATGTACTTAAAGTAAGTTAATCTACTTATTTTCTTAATTTTGCTGATTTTTGAATTGCCACTGAAATAGAATAGCGCTCTGCTATTATGTTTAGAATTATTTTAGATATTTTTTGTTTTTCTATAAATAACAAAGTGATTTTTAAAACATGAATACACACTGAAATCTGTCAATAATATATTTTCTAATACCAACATCCACTGAAATTCCAGGTATGCTTATAAGGGTTAGAAGGCTTGACTTCATTGCTCCCTGTCACATGAATGAGCTTTGTTATTCTTTTCGAATTCTTGTATTAAATGCTAATAACCTCCTTTTATTTGGTTATCATTTTAGTGCAGTGATTGGAAATTACATATTAGCACAAAATACTAACTGATTTCCAGGCACACCGGTTTGTTTTTGCCGTGGACCCCAATGTTTGAAGTTAGCAGGGCTCTTTAAAATATTTTTAAAACTAGTGAGCTTCCAGCATTTCATTGATTCACACTAAATCAGTCCCTCGATCATCCAGTTAATTTTAACCTTGACCTCCCACAGCTGTACTGCTTTACTCAGTCCCCAAAAGTCCCCGCTTCTGCTTCTTATGAAGCAATAGTAGAGAGGAGAAACAAAGCCCATTCCTTTAAGAAAGATTCCGCCTCCTTTTTTTTTTTTTTTTTATAAGCAAGCGCCTAATGGTAACTGGGGAGTCTCTACTAAGTCACACACTTTACTACTCAGCATTGGGAGAAGCTGCTGCGGCTGCTGTAGCCGCCGCCGCCGCCGCCGCCGCCGCCGCCGCCACGGGTCTGAGGCTGCAGAGGTTCACTGCAGAACCCACACCTACAGAAGACACACACCACGTCTACTACCCTGGACACAAGCAAGCCTTGCATCTTCTGCGGGTAAGCCGATCTTTTATCCATTTTGTCCAGAAACTGTGGGAAAGGTAATGATCATGGAAAAGATTGCTCATCAGACATGCTTAAAATGGATTATGTTAATTTGTCTTCCTTTGGGGGGGGTTGTTTAGATTTGTGACTGGCAAATGCTCTATATAGTGGAGACTATTGTCTGATAAGTGCTCTTAACATACTTTTTTTTTTTTGCTATTCATAGAAAGGCTAACCTTGATGCATGCAAAAGCTTTTCATTTTTTGCTTTATAAATGCAAAAAAAAAATCCAGCCACTCCCAATATCTCTCTCAAATACTGCAGATATTTTTAAACACCAAATAAAATGACAGGCTGAGCATTTTCTAAATATTTTCTCCTCAAAGCCAGGAAGCCTTCCCTTGATCCTTTAGGGGTATTTAAAAATCATAAGGCATGGTTAGATTTTGAGCAGATGGGAGATGGTGGTAGACTGAAATTTCTACAGCCTTAGTCCAGTGGAGAGAGAAAAGGAGGATAAATGAATCACAGTTTGTGCCAACACAAGATTCATTTTCCACACTTCATATGTGGGAAGAGGAAACTACATTTTAATTAGCACATTTTTAGGGAAGAGGGAGGGGATGAAGATGAGGGGGATGGCATGAAGTATTTGAGGGGGAAGAGAAGAGTCTGCAGAGGAGGAAGGAAATGAAGTGGACTGTCGCCAGTGCCTTGGAAACGAAGGGAGACAAGGGTGGGGAATGAAGTTTGTTCTGTTTGGTAGGGTGGGGTTGACTCAAGGGACCATGAATAACCAGAATGGCGCTTGGAGGGGTGTGCTTGCGAGTGGATTCGTGCCTGTGGAGGACACGTGTGCGGGAGGGATGTGCAAATCGTGGGTGGCTGAGAAAGGTGTGCATTGCTGGGAGGTCTGTTTCAAGAACAGGTTGGGGTGAGAAATGTGTCTGGGCGACGGGGGATGGGGGGCCCCAGTGTCACCTGTGGATAGATCCACATCCCTGCTATTGCACGTTGCAAAGTTTACCCAGCCCCAAATTCATTTTGAAAGCTGGCGCGGTCTCCCTCGACTTTTCCCCTCCAAGAAGCCATCTCTCATAAGGTTACAAGGCCAGGGGCCAAAGTAGGGGTGAAGACCCTCCACCGGTCTAAGGGGTGAAGACCCTCCACCGCTCTTGAAAGAGCCCCTGCCCTGCCCCTCTGTGGAGGTGAGTAGGGGGAGGAAGCGCCCAATAGGCAAGTATGCTGAGAAGAAAATCTAGGCCCCTCCTATGGGGGCCGTGCGGAGATTGAACCTTAGCCGTGGCCTCCCCCTGAAGACCCAGCTGCCAGAGCAGGCGGCAGAGGTTGACTGAAAGCTGCGGCTCAGCCTCGGGACGGGGAAGGCTCGCTCAGGTTAGGGCGGGCGACATTTCTGCGGCTTCCTCCTCCTCCCCCTGGTAGTCGGGTTTCCGTCGGGGTTATTTCCCCCTCCGACCCTCAGGGGACGCCACAGATCGGAACTGCAGAGCGGGAGGAGGACGCTGAAGAGGTGCCAGGGAGCTGCCGAGCGCCAGGCCCTCCCAGAGGCCCGGCCGGCCGGTAGGTCCCTGCGGTCGCGGCTACACAGATGTGGTGCTCGCGGGCGGGGAGAGGGCCTCAGCGGGTGGAGCCAAGGCTCGCGAGGGGCGCGAGGGGCGCGAGGGGCCGCGAGGGGCGGGGCTTTGAAGAGGCAGGGCCTTGAAGAGGCGGGGCCCAGAACGTCCTGTGATTCCGAGGGGCGGGGTCAGGTCGCTCGAGATGGGGGGGCAAAGGGCGGGACCAGGGGGCCTTCGGGGGCTGCGAGGGGCCGGCCTCTAGGGGCGGAGCCAGAGGCGCTTGGGGGCCTAAGGGCGGGGCTTAGGGGGCGGTGCCAGAGGACGCTCCGGGGGCGCTCGGCCAGTCCCGCCAGAGCGCGAGCCGCCCGCTGGTAACGGTCGCCAGGGCGAGGGGCGGGAGGGGAAGGAAGGGGGTTTAAATTATTTTCTTTAAAAGCAGTGAGCGAGAGCTAGAGGCATCGCGACCCAGGTGTCGCCGCTTCCTGCTATAGAGGGCTCGGCGCCCAGGTCCCTCCCTCCTCACGCCCCCTCCCCTTGTGTCCTCCCCTGTGGAGCCGTGCGGCGCTTAAGAGGCGGCCGCGGCGGATCGAGCAGCCGCTGCAGCTTCGGCGGCCTCGGAGAAGGAGGAGGGGAAGCACAAAGCCCGCTGCGCGAGGCGAGCTGCGAGGTAATCCTGAGGGGAGAGAAGGCGCCGTCGTTGAGCCCCTCCTCCCAGCGGGGATGGCTGGCGCCCGCGCGGGCTGGACGGCGGGACCCTTCCAGGGGGTCGCGCGGGGGCGGGGAGCGCCGGGGCCGAGGGGACTTCCTATTGGCTGTCCCTGCGGCCTCAGGTGAACCTCTCTCTTCGCGGGGGGCCGGAATGGGAGCCCTGGGCTAGTCCGAGGGGAGTGGACGTGCGGGGGAGGGAGGGCCTCTGGGCGCCGCGGGGTGGGCCCGACTCTTGGGCGTCCTCTGGTTTCCCTCGAGAGTACCGTAGGGAGTTCTGAAAATCGAGAGCTAGTTGAAGCGTTGGTGACCTGGGGACCTTAAGCTCTGAAGGTGTGCCCCCGAGGTTGCCGCACTTGGAAAAGGTGGAGGTAAGGGAAAGAATGTTGGTTTGTTTTGTTTTCCTCGTTTAAAAAAGTTCTGTTACTAGTTGAAAGCGTTCCTGTAATCCGCGTCCCCATCCTCCTAGCGCGCTCACACACCCCTACAAACGCTTACACGTTAAGGTTGTGCTTCCTGCCTGGGGTGACAAGCCGAGTTGGCAGCGGGTCCACTTTGCTGGTGTTTGGGGCACGTCCAGCCTCTTTGGAGGTATGCTGTTATAGCTGAGGCAAGACCACAGAGACAGGTAGAATAAGCTAGGCCTCTATTAAATTGGCAAGAATGGCCTCAGGTGAACTTTTTTGTTGCAGAGATTTAATTGCAAGTAGGTGCCCGCTCAAAATGGGAGCGTAGTAAAACCACTAATTTCTTTGGCACGTGTGCTGTTGCAATTGACCAGTATAGTGGTAAGGAGAGATGGAATTTAACTCAACCAGGAGGTTTTGAGGCGGGATTACATGCAAGTGTGGTGAAGGAGTTGGTAAGATTCTGGGGGTTGGAACCAGCTACATAAACGTGTGTGCATGTTTGTTAAATTATACAGTATTTCACATTTAGCAGTATGAAATGGTTGCTTTTCTTGGAATGAAGTGCCTCTACATCATGCTTAGTATATTCCTAATTTGGGCTTCAGAAGAATTCTAGAGTGTTGTTAAAGAGAATAAAATAAGTGCTGGGTAACCCGTCGTTAAGAGCTTGACTATTAAAAAATTTGTGTAATTAAGGTATGGTACCAACTCATTTATAGCGTTACTTTTGGAGCATATGTGTAAAGTTTTTTGTATCCAAATCTTGATTGCACTGTAATTGCCCTCTAACTCGTTTTCCTTTGCTTAAATTGAGCAGATTAATTTTGCAGAGGGAGGGCCAGAAAAATATGGCCGCTTTTGCTACAATTAATTCTTCATCTTTTTAAAGAGTTCTCTCTTTTTTTAAAGATTTTATTTATTTGAGAGAAAGCAAGTGAGAGAGCGAGCATAAGTGGGGGATGGGGAGGCAGTGGGAGAGGGAGAGAGGAAGAAGCAGACTCGCCACTGAACTGGGAGCCTGATGCGGGACTCGATCCCAGCATTCTGGGATCATGACCTGAGCTGAAGGCAGACGATTAACCGACTAAGCCACCCGGGCGCCCCATCCAAAGAGTTCACTCTTAAAAGTTGACCTCAGGTGCTGGCATGTTGGTAATAGTTGTTTTTAAAGAAAAAAAAAAGTGGCCTATCAATTTTGAATGTTAAACATAATTTATCTCAATTTAAATGTAAATTAAGAGATAATTGGTTATGGGGCATTCAATGTAGATTTTTACATGTATGATAACAGGAGGTTTGTTGGTAAACATTTGACATGACAGGTGATCATAAGACACCTGGGAAATAATTATTTTGCATGATAGAAGAATTGTGTTTTCAAAAATGTTTTACATTCTAAAAGTGAAAAAACTGTACACTTTTCTATTTCTAACCCCTTTTTTCAATAATGCTATACTGGGAAGAATGTGTGTTCCACTCAGTGATGTTTAAAGTGTGGATTTGGTCTTGTAAAACCAGAATGTCTTTTGAGACTAAGACGACATAGCATCAGCTCCTACACACAATCCTTAAATCTGGACTCAAGGTGGGGCTCAACTTCTGCAGTTGTGAGGCTTCCTGAAGTAGGTGTATCATGTCTGTTTTTGTTACACCTAAGCCTGTACAGGGTGTTTAGCTGTTTAATCTGTTCTGTGGCAAAGCAGTTGGTTAGCAGTACTGGGCAGCACTTACACATGTCCTCAGGGTATAAGAAGCATTTCTATTGAGGGAGGAAATCCTATAAAAGCATAGAAACCCATATCTGAACAAATTGAGTTTGTAGAATGTTCGGGAATGATAATGTCATAATATTAACTGAGTTGTTTTATGTAAAGTGTTTACAATATGGTCTGGTACTCAGTAAGTGTTTCATGACTTTATCATCACTAGTATATAAAATGAGTCTTCTCAGAAGGTGGTTATATCACACTACATAGCAAGTGAAGACTAAGCAAATATTTGTAATAACCAATATTTATTTCCTCTACCTCTGTGCCAGACAGAGTTTTATATGATTTAATTTACTTATTCCTCATGACACGCCAACGACTAAACAGACACCTAGGTTTTTGCCCAAGGAGTATAGGCTCTAGGTGCCACAGGCTGGTTCTGAACCCAGAGTCTGACTCTAGAGTGAGCCCATGTAACTAGTAGGCCCTGCTATTATACTTGCAGTAGTAGTTACAAATCAGTGAAAGGTCTTTGAAGTATTCCCAAAACTACAGGTATGCCTTGGTCTTGTTTAGCCACACCCTCCTGTATTAATACCACCAACAGACTGTTTAAATATGAAGGGTAGTGATTAATCTGCATTAAGTAGAGTCACCTTTTGGACTTTGGAAGAGGATTCTCTTTTGATTAAGTTTAGCTAGGATACTGTATTTGGGCTAGAGTATGTTATCTTTTTAATTACTAAAGATATTAAAGGTTTTTTTTTTTTTTTTTAAAGATTGCCAGATGTGCTGGGACTCACGAGGCCCAGCAGGCACTAGTTTTCCTTGGAGAGATTCTGGTTTTGCACTAAATCAGGCTGATTTTCTGATTATCAACATCATATCAATCTAAGATGGATTGTCACTTAAATTTGTTCTAAATTCCGTCTGAGTTGCCTCCGAAAATTAGCCTTAAGATATAACTATGGCTTAAACTTTGTCACTCACATTCCTCTTGGATGGAATTGTGTGTTGCTGCTTCACCAGTGTAGTTGATAGGTCAAGCAAATAAATTATAACGTAAATTAGGAGCTCGTTTCAGTAATGTTTAGAATTATTGTAGAGAACTGAAATGTCCTTTTGTTGACAGTTTAGTGAAATATAATGTTAGGAAAAAATGTTTAAAAACAGGCATGTGTTGAACTAAGAAAGCCCAAGCTGTATTGAAGACACAGGTTACTAATCTGTTTCTCACATAAATACTAAATTTTTTGGCTAGAATTAATATTCAGTGCTGTTTCCAAATCCTTTGGAAATGCTAAATATGTAGAATTTGAATAGAAAAAAATTTAAATGTCTAATCAGAGTGCTATTCTTTTTTAAACATGGACACCTTATTTAAAATTCATTAAGGGGTGCCTGGGTGGCTCAGTCGTTAAGCGTCTGCCTTCGGCTCAGGTCATGATCTCAGGGTCCTGGGATCGAGTCCCACATCGGGCTCCTGGCTCCGCAGGAAGCCTGCTTCTCCCTCTCCCACTCCCCCTGCTTGTGTTCCTGCTCTCGCTGTCTCTCTCTCTGTCAAATAAATAAATAAAATCTTTAAAAAAAAAATTCATTAAGGAGTTGTAGACTGTGTTAGGTCATTGAGGTTCAAAATGAGTGCCCTGATACTTTCATGTCTTTTGTGTTAATGGTTTATCATTTGATCTTGGGGTCCATTCCAGTATATTTTATAGATGAGATTGTTATGAGGTCTTTCGGGTTCTGCAAGTGACTAAGCTCTCTTGGCCAAGAGCCAGGACAATCTCAGATTTTTACTGTAATGGGTTGTATATATTCAGAATCCTTTATATCATACTGGTTAGAAGTCTTTCATTGAGGCTTGAAAGAAAACATGTCTGTTAACTCTTATATATCCCATTTATATAATAACTAGATGAATTTAATTTTTTCCTTCTAGCAGTAGCTGGTTATGAACACACATGTATGTAATAATCCTACTTGGGGGATACTCTTCCTTTCATGTAAAGTTAAAAATTATTCACCTGGCATTCATGCAATAGAGTATCAACAGTATGCATTGAACAATTTTAACTGAAAATTATGTTAATTTTAATTGTTGCAGAAAAAAAAGGTTTGTGGGCACTATTTCATGTGCATTTTAATAATGTTGATCTTTTATATTTGGACAAGCTTCAAAATGCAATTCAAAATTAAGTTAATTGCACAGTTGAACGCGTATTTGAATGTTAAGATGGTACTGTTTAACTCACTGTAGAACCTTAGCTGATAGTACAAATAATGAGAATCAGAGTCTCTTGTTTCCTTAAACTAATTTTTGTTGGATATCTTTGAAAAGCTGCATTAATAATCTTTCAGGTTTCTAGGGTATTACTACACTGAAGGAGCAATTTAATGAGGAGTATCCTAGAAACCTTAAAGATTGAATGTGGCTTTCAGTGTTATCTAGTATAACCCAAAAAATAGTACCATGATCACTGAAAGGTATAAAATGAATGAAACCCATCTTTTATATTTAAAGGCTTATTGTTCTTATAAATTTCCTTGTTAGGAAGATAGTATAGACTGGTTTCTAACTATGCCAAAGCTGAACTGTTATTGTATAGGCTTTGATGTACAGTTACAGCTTTATCATGAGTCTAGATCTAAATTGAACTTTAATCTGATGTCAGACTGATCTGCCTTGCCACCATGTACCTTACATTTATTTGTTTTTAAAAGTTGGCGATGGGGCGCCTGGGTGGCTCAGTCGTTAAGCGTCTGCCTTCAGCTCGGGTCATGATCCCAGGGTCCTGAGATCGAGCCCCGCATCGGGCTCCCTGCTCGGCGGGAAGCCTGCT